GATATCAAAATAAATTAAAAAAAATAATAGGCACATTATATATATAATTGGAACAATTTACATTTGTTGTTATAAACAACTTACATTGAAATTTGACTTGAAATAATAATTTTTTAACTCATTTTTAAATAAAATATTTGAGATCAACTCATTTTGATAATAATGTCTGTTTGATAACATTATCCATGATCGAAAACTATGCATAAAACAGACAAGTTATCACAAAACTTTTCTTCTTGCAAATGTATGGAAAAATATCATGTAATTATAAGTAAGTGACCAAAGTATATATCTGTCTCTTTTTAGTATCTATTCTCACAAATCATAAGTGATGGTGAAAATGATAATCAGACAGGAAAGTATTTGATATAGACCCACCTCTTTCTACACGATCAACAGCACCTTCAAAATCTCTCTGGGCAATACACATATCCAAGTCTTCAGGAAGTTCTTGAATCCAGTCTGTATTGAGCACACTACTTTCCATTTCATCTTGCTGTTGGATAACACTGATTTCTTCATCTTCAAATGCTTTCAAAAAGAAGGAAAAAGAAACTTTCTGACTTCACATTATCAAAAAAAAAAAAAAAATGAATAAAATTGATTATTTCAAAACAATGAAAAAAATGGAAAATATATGAATAACATTTTATGAAAAGATTATTAAAATGAACTTTCATATTAACTATCTGGCAGCTTAGCTTTAGTTACTTTTTCACCACCATAAAGTTACCTCTCTATGTCTTTTTCTATAAAAAAGACATAGAGAAGTAAGTTTATGGTGGTGAAAAAAATACATTCATGGTAATTGTTCAGATGAGCTCTTCACTATGGTACATACACGTTTTGAATTTAAGTACAGTAATAGACTGGCATCAAAATATCATCAATTTGCAATTGAGCTGGCTAGATATAACTGTAAATTCTATGCTAACGGTTTCTTTTCTCACACTTCTTGCTTGTGGAACTCCCTTCTGACTATGCTTTCCAACCAACTTTAAACTGTAAAAATTTAAATGCAATGTCAATTGATATCTACTGTCCTCCTGATTACTCTTTCTACTCATTATTAATGTTTCCATTCTTAATTCTTCCACACCCTGTAACGACTTGTCTTAGTGGCCTGACTGCCTTGCATGGGGTGATACTGATTAAAAAAAAGTGCACATTCATCTCTGTAACAAATCTAATACAATGATAATAAATAAACAAAATATATTATTAATAAATCTGTATCCTAATGTTAAAAATATCATTTATTTTACACAAAAAATATTTATTTTTCAACATACTTCTCCATAAGTTGCACAAACTGAACATTATAAAGTTTAAAATGAAGATAATTGTATCAAGCTATAAACGTATTGATCAAGCTGAATACATAAGACAAGGTATTATATTAACAATACTAATGAAATATAATTATTCAAAGAACTCAAATGTCATATATATCATTAAGAATTATTGCAAGGTATTGATAACTTGCAATAGATCAACCCTATTTTATCAGTAATGTTTGTCTTAGTTCTTGAGTACTGACAATATCTTTCTTCCCGATTTTCAATTTATTTCTATAATAAAAATTTATTGATTATATAACAAGTTGTTATAACACAGTTAATATTTGCCATAATTCCTAATCAGTAAAACTTTTTCCTTACAAAATATTTTATGGATTTAATGGAATAAAAGTAATCTGAGGGAGGGGGAAACCTGAATAGTTAGTGGTCTCATAGACCATTACTAATGTAGGGAATTTGATCCTTACTGAGTGCTGCTACATTGATGATGTTGTGCCAGACTAAGCTAAGTTGTATAAATCTCAAGAATCATGCATTATGTAGTATATTCTTATAACCTTTTTCTGTACTAAGCTCACATGAATAAATATTATTATTATTCTTTTATGTGCCATGTCCCTTTAAGACATATGCAATCATGACTCTCCACAAGTTCCTATTCTTTGTAACTCTTAACAATGCTTGTTTTTTTTTTATTATCCCTCCGAGTCTGTTCTGCCATTGATTTACACAAGCTTGTTAGAAAGGTTACTCACTGTTTGCTTCTGGCCTACTTGCTTCCAACATATTGTGTGGGTGTCAAATTTCCCAAGCCCTAATTAAGTATTAGTGAAAATATTAATACAATAAAAGTTTCTTCCTCTTTTTATAAAATTCTAGTTAGTATCTCTAAGTAATTTTTCTACATTTTGTTATTATAATGATTAGGTCTTTTTCATATTCAAACATCTTGATTTAGTGTCCTTTATTCTATATATGATTTTGTAAATTAACAATAATGTTAAGGATTAATAAGTTCAAGTTTGTTTGGTCCTAAATAAAGATAATATTCAAATTAACAAATAAATGATTACTACAAACAAGACCACAGTTTTTGACAGAAGAAACATTCTACATTAGCCAAGAAGAGGAGAAACAATTAAGAGACAATAATTGTTATTCCTCATACATTCTGGATTGAACTAAATATTTTTCTATTGAGCCTTAGCTTAATTCTATCTTTACATACGTGTTGCTGGTTCATTATCATCAGCAGACTGGGCTGCTTGCTGTTCTGATAAGCGAAGTGCAGCTTCTTTTTTTTGTTTGTCTCTTGCAGCTTTTTTCTTTTTGGAATCTTCTAAAATATCCAACCATTGGCGCTGAAGAAAAAAGAAGCATTAGATTATAAGGTAATGTTTTCAAAAACCAAAAGAAAAAAGAATAAAACTTACAATACTAATACCTCCATCAAATAACAATTGTAACATTTGTGTACACATTTCATACATTAAATATAGTAACTATTATGGAAAAAGTTTTTTAATACTAACGTTTACTCAATACGAGGCTCAAGAAATACTCAAGGTAGAGGGTTAGTCAAAATGGTAATAATGAATGTGGTGTGTGATATAAATAGAAAATTTGGTAGGAAGTGAAGATTATGAGAATAAGAAAAGACTCTTGACTCAAAAAGGCCAAGATTGAAGTGTTCAGAGAAACATCCAAATAGAAGTCTATTCCACAAAGTGCTAGTTCTTTGGGGAAAAAAAGCTGTGTGAAACTTTCTTCTTATGTTTGGAACACAGAAGAAATAGCAGGGGGGTGATTAGATTCCATGGAAGTGGCATGGTAAGCACTAACTGTAAAGGTGGAAACAAAGAATAGACTGCATCTGAATATTTGCCAAGAAAATAGTAATAGAGTAGTGACAGGCTTGTAACATTACATAAGTAGTAAATCTTAATAATATTTAATAATTTAATTTAAATTTATGCATATTAATATTTGTTCATAGGTGTTGTAAGTGGTGTTTAATGGTGTGGAAAATTCAATTTTGGCTGAGACTGTTTGTGTTCACTTCATATTAATGCCCTTGGAAAAGATATTAATTCAGCTCTTATCTATGAGTAAAAAAGTAGGCTAGACTGGACTCTCTAGCATTGGTTGATAACTAGTCTAGGAGACTGGAGAAAACAACAGGAAACCTTTCCACTGTTTTTTACCCAAGAATAATCATAGCAATGCTAAATTTACAGATATTAAAGAGAAGGAGGCTGTGGAGATCCATAATTGCGTCTTTACAGAAAAGATATGGCACTTGGAATATATGAGTAATAATTAAATATCTACTCATTAATTCTTGCTTTAATTTTTAAAAATTTCAATTGGGTATGCAGTTGTCACAGATATATTAGTTATAAAATTTTTGATGGGATATTTTGACAGCTGTATATTCTTTGTGAAGAGCTGCATTGTAGATTGTTATGTAATGCTAATGACAACAACAAAAACAAAACAGTAAACTGTGTGATCTCATTTTCAGTGATCTGACAAATGAATCCATTTTCCTAAAACAATTCACTTGGTTGTATGTGACAGTGAATAAATAACCTAATGCCTTCGTCTTGATAGGAATATGAAGTATTCATCAACAAATCCAGTATTTCAACAAAGAATGACTTCCAGTTCAATGCCATTTTCTGGTTTTCTCAACAAAAACTAAAAACAAAACAGCAAAAAAGAAAAAAAATAATCAATACCAGTTCAGATCTACATTTTGGTGGGTTATGAATTTTACATTTTTATTTTCATTGATTTCACCATAAACTAATTTTAATTTTTTTTTTGATTTTAAAAATATTTTAAAAGGAATTTTTTTCAATGTAATTATTATCTAGTTCATTAAGGTTGACAATGGATGTAATTTTTTTTCTGTGACAAGTTGATAAAAATATATTTAGAAGAAAGTGTTTTACCTCAGTATTAACTCATCCACCCTTTTTTCTATCAATTAATATGGCATGAAATTTTTGTTCAGATATCTAGTGAAGGGATAGGACATAGGAAGAAGTGGCTTCATGCCTTTCATAACTATATTAAATGAACACAAGCAGCCTCAGCTAGTTAAAATTCAAACTTGATTTATCAATCTCATTTTCTATGCATATAATTGTTATTTCATTTGTATTTTGTCACTTTTTATACAAGATAGACAGTAATAATAATAATTTTAAGAAAAGTAATAATTAAGTAATTTGATTTATTTTTGGAATGACAAGAAAAAACACTTAAAGAACTTACTTTTGATTTGGTACTATCAGTTTGATAGATCCTAGATTCTGGAAATTTGAGAATCTTAAAAGCATTTTTGACTGTGTCAACATCTCTGACATTAACAACAGCCAAGCTATCTAGTTCATAAAGAACTTGAAATTTGAAACGCACAGGACCACGACTGAAATATAAAAACAAATACACATTTATTTTATATGTGATGAAGATTTTTCCCCACAAATAATTATAAGTAATTTAAGAATAAAAAAGGTTAATGATTAAACTTTAACTGTGCTATTTTTAAACATTGCATGTTTTTAAACAATTTTTAAATTAACACATAATTAACTATAGCAGAAGCATCTCTTAATCTTTTCTAAATGTAGTAGTAATTTTAATTTTCAAGACAATTATTGAAACATTTTTCTTTTATTTTTTCCTACTTGAATATGATTTTAAATAGTGTTAATTTAAAAAAGATGCTAAAGAAAATGGCTTAGAAGAGGAATTTAAAAAAATAAATATATAAAAATATTTATTTACAAAAATCAACTTTTGTGTGATAAATTCCAAAGCATGGTATAATGTAAATAATTAAACACTAGTCTTTAGACACATTATGTGTCCCTTCAGTTTTGTATAATTTATACAAACAGACAAAGTAAAAAAAGTCACAAAAAAAAATTTAAAAAAAAAAAAAAAGAAAAAAAAAGACAATGTTAGTACTGTTTCTGTATCTATCTTTAATGAACTTTTTAAAACCCTATCTTTATCTCTAACCTTGAAGACAGTGTGAACAGTGGAAATCTTGGGTCTGTTGTGGATCAACCATACTTGCATTTAGTGAAAAATAATTTTTACACCTCTTGCCATGGAAGTAATAAATGTGGTTCAAAAATTTGCTACAATGGCTTCATGTATAACAAACTATCACTCACAAAACCATGTTTTTTTTTCCAAGTTAAAATTGTGATTTTTTTCTTCTGTGACTTTATTATCAGCCATGTGACTTTATTATCATTTATGAGAAACAAGAAAAAATCTTATTTACCGGTTGGTTGATGCCCTGAACTGAATTTTCTTCAGTCACAATAAAATCAAAACTTCCATCATTTTGCACTGTTTTACAGTTATGTATGAAGATGTTGAGACAAAATGGAAAATTTATTAATGACATGTCTCATCAAAAGCATCTGCTCTTTTTGGCTTCCTGAATAAGTCAAAAAAACCAGACATTTATCTTCACTTTTGTTTTGGATACAATTATATATCCTACAAACACACAGTTGTGTATAGATGAATATTGGAAATTAGTCATTTATATTTGAGCCATTTTGTCATTTATATTTGTGAATTTAGGAAGATTCAGTAATGTAAAATTTGGTAATTTTGACAAGGTAAGAAAATTCAGTAACTATGAAGAATTGATAGAAAATTGATTTTAGGGCTGTTCTGGAGTGGGGATTTGGGTGGGGGCTAAGCCCCACTCCTTCCCCATAATTTTTAAATAACTGAAAATCGTGTGGTCCACATAAAACCTCACTACAACAATACCAGGGCTGTACTTGCAGAAGGGAGGGCTAAGGGGGCTAGGTCTCCTTCCCCAATAATTTTAAAAAAGTATTATTAACTATGATGGTTTAGATAAAACAATACCAGGGCTGTACTTTCTGGAGGGGGGTAACCCCCCCACCCCACTCTTACATTTAAATAAGTATTAACTAAGAAAATCATTGGTTCCTGTCCAGATCAAATCCCATTGCAACAATACCAGAGCCATACCTTCTGGATGGAAGGTCGGGGAGTTAAACCACTTCCAATATTTTAAAATAAATATTTTTTAAATGAGTACTTATTTAATCACTATACTTTATTGTTTTCAGGCAAATAAAATCAATTTATCTAAGTTAAAGTTAAGTTCTTGTATCTTTTTCAAATTATTATTTTAATAAAAAAGTAGTAAATAAATTAAGTTTTAGACAGTTATTTCTTTTTAAAGAAGCAAAAACTATATAGCCACATTTCTATTTCAAAAATATAGTGGAGAGTGCTTAACCTCCAAATCCTCTCTTCAGAACAGCCCTAAAATCAATTTTTAATCAATGTTTATTTCATAGTTACTGAATTTTCCATTACCAAATTTTCTGGGCGCCATATCTGCAATGACTTATCTGTAGTTAATAGATTAAATATAAATAGTTTTGAATGCTAGTATGAATGATTTTTGTATACAATTTCATTTTTAGCATTTTTAATACTACAAAAAATATTTATTTTGTTTAGGATAATTTATACCAAGTATAATTCAGTAATTAATAAGATTTAAATTAACCTTTTAGTTGAGATTAGTAATTACATCTGCCAATATAAAAAATAAATAAAAAACACATTCTAAAATCTGACCAAACATCAGAATTTCTTTTGGAATCTATTTTTGGTTTTTAGAATTCCACTTCTAAAAACTTTACTAAGCATGAACATTTAATTCACAAAAATACTCATTTAAATTAAATAAATAAAAATATATTTTCTTATTCAGGCAAAATTTTGAGTTTTTCCAAATGTGCCTTATGACTTTTTCCAACAACTAATATTTTATATATTAAGAGATGTTTTAAGATGCCAATTTGCTTAATAAAATGTACATTATAGTTTCACTTTTAATATAAATAATACACCAAAAATATCTAAAGTAATAAATAACAAGTCATATTAAAAGGATTTTTCAAAATTATTTGAATTAATTTATAAAGAAAAAAATTACTTATTTAATTAGGTCAGAATGCTCTAATTATGAATATTGTAAAAAATACTTTTCAGTGTCAGTTATGAAAAACTTTGCGAAATAAAATAGAATTATAAAAGAAAAATTTATAATTTTATCACAAATATTTACATTGAATCAACAAATGTCAGACTACATGTTTAAAACAATCAATTAATTCTGTGAACTTATAATTAAGACACAGAAGATATCTATAAATATATATATAAATCATATTTTTTAAAATTTAATTTACTGTTTTTTTTTAAATTTAAATAATTTCACTCCCAAGCAAAGCAATAAAGCCACTAAGATGCAAGGGGCGACTGAATGTGAAAAAGAAAAACATTATTAATGAATTAAGACAAAAGATAATGATTGACATTACATTTAAATTTTTGAAGATCAAAGTTGACTGGAAAGCAAAGAGTCCAGAAAAGGGTTCCATAAGTGATAATTGTAAAAGAAGAAACTGTTAGCATGGAATTTACAGTTAGATTTACCAATTTCAACTGTGGAATGATGAATCTTAGTTGCCAATTTACTACTATGCTTAAATTCATAAAGTTTAAATATCAAAGAGGAAAGCTTATCAGAACAGTTACCACAGGCACAGGGAAGTTACGTAGCAGGAAATTGACTGAAGATGAGTTTTCAGAACCAAAATATTGCAGATTCTTCTATGGATTTTATCAAGAGTCTCTAAATATATAGCAGAAACACCAATTAAAAATAACAATCTAATTGAAAATAACCTTTTTTTTTTTTACTTTAATTTTTTAGATTTTTGTTATTCTGGCTTTTAACAACTTTGTATCATCTTTTTATTTTTTCTCCAAATTCCACACAATTATCTTTCAAGTATATATATATATATATATATATATATATAAAAATTCATTCATCATTAGTTCTAAAAAGCATCTACTCTTTGTCATTTTAATAACATTACATTAAATATCCTCTTGCTGATATACTAGGAAATTAAAGTACAAAAACTATTTTGAAAATATTGACACATTTTAAATCACCTCTCTTTAAAATCAAGTATCATTTGCTTCTAGCTGTCTCATATCTGTACAATTGTTGTACAAGTATGCTACAAATTTTGATTTATTTCAAAATCCATTATTATAAATCATACTGATAATGTTTGTTTTAAAATAGAGAACATTTAACATCCTTTGAAAATTGAACAAAGGACAAAGACAGAAAGAGCTAAATAAAAGACTGTCCTTTCCAACAAGGGAGAGTTGGTAACACTAGTTGTTGGTTTAATTATCTATCAATTAAAATATTTTCAAATAAAATGTTGAAACTTGGTTATATTCAAATTGCACAGATATTTGTAGAGTATACACTCTATTATTTTTGAAGTATGAAAAAATATATTACAATGTATAAAATATTTGTGAATATTTGCAGCACTTTCTCTTTACAAAAACAGAAATTCTATTATAGCTCTTTGCTTCTACATATTTTCAGAGAAGTAGACATTTTGAAAGAGGATTAAGAAGAGTGAAAGTAATTCCGCAATTTTTTCCATGGGCTTCTAAACAAGTAAATAAAAAAGAAAAAAGAATTGAGTAATATTTTTAAAATTAAATAAAAACATTGTTTTTTTTTAATGACCCTTGTACGTCAATATGTTAAAAGATCATGTTATATGAAGTTTTATGTTCTTTATTTTATGATTAGTTCAGTTACTTTTTTGCTATAATCAATTAACTGATTTTGTTTTTAAATGCCATTCATACTAATTAATAATATTAATTAATACAAATTACAAACTATAATTACAAAGATTGCTTGTCTTAAAAACATTACCTTCCAGAATTATTCTGGTCAACCAGTTTTTGGTGAAATATTTGCTATTGTTATGATAAATATGCTTTAAAAAACTAAAAGCTATAAAGTGTGATCTAGTAACTGTAAATTATGCCAGAAGAAAAAACTGGCTATATCTATGTTTAATGAACAAAATAAATTATTAAATAGAATAAGTGAAATAATATCAGTATGTAGATATCCAAAGAAATACCAATAGTTGTGCTTTGAAGTTGGTTAAAAGAAACATACTTGAGCATACATTATATAGATGATTAAAATGATACTAATATGCAAATTTCTGATATTCCATAATATAACTGATATATAATAATTATTCTCAGATAGCTTGAAGAGCCAATAGCAGAAAACTATAGTAGCATATCTGTAAGTTTATGTCACTGTTTACATATATATATATATATATATATATATATATATATATATATAGTGCCCGGTAAAAATGGCAAAAGTGGATAAATAGGTAAAAATGGCAATTTGACAACAGAAAATTATGACCGTTCGAGAAGGATGGGTCTAAGCTTCCATCCCTCTAATTTAAAATAGGGCTAAGTCCCCACCTCAATATTTTAAAATAAATATTTTTAAATAGATATTTACTCTATTGGGGGGGAAATAGGGGCTAAGTTCCCGCTCCTAGTAAATAAAAACATTTTTTAAATTTTCGATGTCGATTTTTAGAAGTTTTATGGGGGGGCTGGTTCCTACTCTAATTGCAGTAAAAGCACAAATCATAGGGTGTTTAAGTGAATTTGATGACTATAATTAATTTTATAATTGATAACTGACATTAGGATTAGATGTATATATATATATATATATATATATATATATATATATATATATAAATAAAATAAAACAAGTGTATTTTAGTATAATATATATATAAAATATTAGTGTGTGTATATATATATATATATATATATATATATATATATATAGTGTTCGGACGATTAATTGGAATCGGAAAAAAACAAAAACCCTTGAATATATAGAATCCCATTCAAATAAAACGTTTTTTTTAATTTTTTTTTTTTTTTCGACAAATAATCAAATAAAACTTTTTTATAATAGGAATGTTTTCTTTCAAAATATTTTTAAATAGTTTATTTATTATTTTTTATAATTGGAATATTTTCTTTTTGTGAAAATACTTTTTAAATAGTTTATATTGAAAATATTTTTAAATACATTATTCTATTTTTTAAATAGTCTAATAGTTTTTTTTATAAATAGAAATGGAACAAAATTTAAATATATTAAACGTCATAGTAATAATGTATCCAATATATTGTTTTTTTTATTCGATTGCATTACTGATTCCTACGTGTTCAAACTAGTGAAATTAAAAAAACCCAACTCTAAGTGTACAAAACTGACGAGGGACTGTTTTCCAATAAACACCGCTTAATGTTGGTTTCTGATTTCAATACCGGAAGCCGTCATCAAATGGACCTATAATTGTTTTTTCCCCAAGTATAATGGCATAAAACTCATACAATCAAAGATTAATACAAGAAAGGGTGCAAGTTAAAATGCAAAGTGGGACAAAAATTAAAGCTTGTTTAAGTTAAAACATGACAAAAATTTAAGTATGGATATTTAAATTGTTTTTTAGCTAAAATATTTCTTTTTCTGACTATTTTTTATGCTAATTACTTTAAAAAAATGTGAAAATTTGAATTTTTTTAATTTAATATTTTTTCATGTCTCAATTTGTTCTAGCAAAATTTATTTTATTGTAATTATTGTATTGACAAAAAAAAAAAAAAAAAGAAAATCATGAAAATATTTTATTTTTTATTGAAATAGAAATAAAACTCCATGGATTACTTTTTTCTCCTATGTTTAATTTATTTGGTTATAAACTGTAGGTAGGGAAATATTTTATACCATTAACATTGAATGGTAAGAAGTAAAACTTATAAAAGAAATACTAAAAGTCCATATTAATTTTTATTTAAATATTAATGATGTCATTTATTTTAGATAACAATAAATAAATGTGTACCCAATAAAAACATTTCACTTTATGTAATTATAAAAATATATAAAACACATAAGCAAAGAAAATGTTCTTACTATTCATGGCTTCCATAATTAGAAAAAATTAAATTCAGAAATTAGAAGCTGTAGTCTTTCAAATGCAGTCCACTTTGCTTTTTGTATCCCAATTTGGTCAATATTTGATTAACGGAAATGTGGACATTGTGGGAGTCACTTATATTTCGCATCTTTATCATAAATAGAACCTAAGTTTTCACTTCTATATATTTCTTTACTCAAGAAAACAAACTTGTAGGTTTGGTTACAAAAATTTCCAAAGTTCAATGCCACTAAATTTTGAATTTTTTTTTAATTTCTGATTTTAGGGGTTAATTTTAAAATATGTTGGGATAACTTGAGTTATTAATAAGAGGAAAGTCAATTCAAAATTTTGTAGCATCAGGATTTCAAATATAGCCCAATTCTTTAGTGTACTCCAATTCTCTAATAGATCTCTAATTCTGTAATAGAGCTGACAGATACTCTATTACCAATTAAACTAATATTTACCCATATATATATATATATATATATATATATATATATATATATATATATATATATATATTTTCATTATCTTATTTTATTCATTGCCATATTATTTCTATTTGAATTTACATCCCACCAGGAACTTATTTTTTTTTATTTTAAAACTCTGGTGTTTATATTTGATGGTATATAAGATCCCACTCCTACCCTGCAATATTAGAATTTCAATGTACTTGTAATTAAATGCATGGAAAGAAACTTTGTTTGACTTGGACCAAATAGAAAACATGGATGAAGTTCGAGTAACATTCAGTTAATAAAATTTTTTCTTAATATTACCTGCTGAAATGATGAGATGAGGTCTGATAAGCATATCGATCCTATATGCCAGCAAATATAATACTAAAAGGTTATAGAATAAATGTAAAAATTATTTGAGACTTTCAATAAAAATTAATGGGTGATTAAAGAAATAGGTTTCAAATGGTAACAGTAATGAAAATACTTCATCTAAAGAATTTAAACAACATCAGATTATAACACTTTCATTTTATAAGCTGAATTAATTAAAAAAAAGAAAAAGAAAGAAAGAAAAAGGTAGAAGAAATATTTATATTTGATATATCATAAGTGAAGAATTTATGAAGAGCATACCGGTGAGGCAGCAATGATGCAATCATTAAACTATCATTAAGAAGAAATGCATGTACAGGATGGCTACAAGTGAATGTTTCAGAATCAAGTTCGATCAGTTCTCCATTATGAATCAATTGTCGGCCAGGGACTTCTGTGACACTCTAAAATGACAATAAAACAAACATATATATATTCAAAAAAAAAAAAAAATTCTTTTTAGTAGAACAAACAAGCAGTTCATTAGAAATCTTGTATTCTTCTATATAGAAGAGGAAATGGTTATTTGCTTTTTAAAGTATTTGAAAAATTTAGGAGCTAATTTAAATTCTCATTAAAAACCTGAAAAATTCTAGTAACAATAATAATTGATGTTTAGAAGTGCAATTAGAAAACAATCCCTGGTAAAAATTATGGAATCATCACACTAAGAATCCAGCTTATTTAGTTTGCAGCAAATAAACAAGTTGCAAAAACAACTTTTGTTTAATAGCTTTATGAAATATACCTCAAATAAATTAAATGCAAATATTTTTCCAGAACAAGTCATGATAAATATAGAATCATCTTGTAATTTGCCTTTGTAAAAGAAATGTGAGCAAAAGTCTAGATATGTAAATTATTCTGTAGTTAAAAGAGAATGTAGATATTAATGAGCTGATAGAGTTGTGACTAACTGAAATGAAACATGACTCCAACAATAGAGCTGTCAATTAAAACAATGTGAAAAATTATAAAACTCTTTCAAGGAAATTCAGTTTCAAGTGTGACAAAAGATATTAGTTGCTCTTAATCAACTATGTCTAAACTTTAATGCACATGTTAACAAAATAGAAAGTTTATAAGAAGAAAACATAGGTTGAAGATAGCATCAAAGTAGGAAATTTAAAATATACCCTGAAAGTGGAAAATGCACAAATGAGTGAAAACAAGTCAAAATTTGTGATAGATATATTAGTAAAATGAGATTTACCTAAAGAAAAGCCTAAAAACAGCCCTAAACAGAAATAAACAAGGTTACAGAGAAAAGCAATCATACAGTGTGTATGATTGGATGAAAGTGATAATGAATTATAAATCTGCATTGGTCAAGTCATTGATGCTGGAAGTTTTTTCTGGTGCGGTCCACATAAAACAAAGATGACTGCCTGAAGGAAACAAGCAAATTTACCTGCCCATTTACGAGATGGGGGTTACATATCAGGTAAAGCACAAGGTAAGATGGAAATCATTACTTTAACAATCAATGCACAGGTAGTCACAATAGATTTGGTAATGGAAAAAATCCCACTGGTTAAAATAACAGTATTTAATTTATGAAGCCTGAATTCCCAGCTGAAAATTAAAAATTATTCTGTATCTACAATTAATTTTTATTTGTCTATATTTCTGAGATGAGGTATTATGTACATTATTTACATTATTTGAACTATTGTCCTCATCTTTGTCGCCATATTTATTACAATGCTTTGGCCATTGTATGCTCTGACCATTTTTTCTTATTTATCCATTTTTGCCATTTTTACCGTTGCCATTTTTACCCTGCCATTTTTTCCGTTGTCATTTTTACCTAAATTCATAGTTTTTGCTTCTTATTTAAAAATATTGGAGGGAGCTTAGCCCCTCTCATCTGTTAAATCTCTCATTCAGAAAGTATAGCCCTGATATTGTTCCAGTAGAGTTTTAATAGGACTGGAACCTATGTTTTTTAGTTAATATTATTTAAACGTATTGGGGGAGGAGAGGGAAGCGGGTAGCTACCTCCAGAATGTATGTCCCTGGTATTGTTGTAGTGGAGTTTTAGCTAAACTCCCATAATTAATAATACGTTTTTTAAAAATACTGTGGAATTAAGCCTAGCCCCCCACCCCCCCAAGGCACTACTTCTGCAAGTACAACCCTGGTATTAAGTGGAGTTTTAACTGTAAAATGTGATTTTCAGTTATTTAAAAAATATGGGAGTGGTTAGCCTCCAAATCCCCACTCCAGAATGACCCTAAAATCAATTTTCAATTGACTTTTATATCATAATTACTGAATATTCTGTTACCGAATTTTCCTATATTCTTCTTGTTATAACAAAAACACACATTAAGACTTTTTCTTGAAGGACTGATACAACAAAATGTTTTAATTAAATTGATAACTCAAACATTTGAAGACCCTATTTTTGTTTTAATCTAAAATATTTTAGTAATATGTGAAACAGAAGGATAAAAAAAAGTTTTGTTGATATATTAGTATATATCAACAAAAATTTTAGGTTTATAATATGAATTTAGGTAAAAATGGCAGCGGTAAAAATGGCAACAGTAAAAATAGCAAAAATGGATAAATGAGAAAAAATGGCAAAAGGAAAAAAAATATAGATGAATATCTCACAATGAGTTTATTAAAATCTTGGATACAATACATAATGGAAAAACATGAGAAGTTTGTCAAATTAAAAAGAATATTCAGCTAAAGCTCCCCCCCGCCATCCCATGAGATTTTATTTTTTAGGTGATTACATCTGAACACACTGAAAAACTTTGGGAAAAAACAATTATAGGTTCACTTGATGAAACCAAAAAAAAAAAAACCAAAACAATAAAACATTAATTATTTCAGAGGTTATCAGACGACGACAGGGTGAGACTGGTGCCAGTAAAATTTAAAATCTTGTCTGATGCATTTTCAATCTTTTAATACTCAAGTGTGAAGTCTCTGAGAGGCGTCATATAGACATTTTAGCAAATAGGTGTGAACAGAAATTCAAAAGGTTTGCTGAGGAATAGGCTAAGTGAACTCTAAAATATTTACTTTTTTAAAACCATAATTTACCAATAAAATAATTAAATTAGACTCTGAGAGTCAATACGAAATCTGTGAATGGGATTCCTAAACTTCGCCTTTGCAATTTTTCCGATTAATCGATTAATTGTCCCAACACTAATATATATATATATATATATATATATATATATATATATACACACACACACACACACACACACACACTTGCATTACCTGCTTGAAAGCAATAAAGAATTTTAAACGATTTTTGAAGTATTAAGAAGTTAATGAAATATATATATACACATCTAATCCTAATGTCAGCTATCAATTATAAAATTAATTATAGTCATCAAATTAAGTTAAACACTATGATTTGTGCTTTTACAGCAATTAGTAATAGGAACCTACCACCCCACCCCAAATAAAACTTCTAAAAATCGACATCGAAAATTTAAAAAAAAATGTTTTAATACTAGGAGTGGGAACTTAGCCCCTATTTAAAACACGAGGTGAAGGAGCCTAGTTCACACCCCACCCACTAGAGTAAATATCTATTTAAAAATATTTATTTTAAAATATTGAGGTGGGGGGGGGACTTAGCCCTATTTTAAACTAGAGGGATGGGAGCTTAGACCCATCCTTCTCGAACGGTCATAATTTTCTGTTGTCGAATTGACATTTTTACCTATTTATCCACTTTTGCCATTTTTACCGTTGCCATTTTTATCCTGCCATTTTTTTTCTGCTGCCATTTTTACCGAGCACCTTATAATATATTTAAATGCACATACATTGTCTTATTGCTAGAAGATAGAAAATATCAAATTGTTTATAGTTCACAATGACCTATTTTTGAAAGAAAAATTGTTAAGTTTAAAAAATGTTTTTAATTTTAAATCTTGCTTAATGTTTAAAAAATGTTTAGTAACTTTCAACATCTATTTCCTTAAGAACAAGAAAATATTAAATATTTGTAAATGATTTCAATTTTAATAATTATTTTATAGCACTTAATATATATGATATTCATAATGATCTGGTTGTATAGAACATAATGCCCAATTTTAGAATCAACTTTTATTTCTGAATTAATGCATTTAAACAGTGTTTAAATCAGTCAAAATAGTAACCCTGAACATATATTTCTGCCATCAAGATACAAAGTTCTTATACCTTTACAATGACAAGAAATCCTTCAATGCAGTTTCTGAATTTTCTTTGTAACAGAATGTCTTTTGACTTAAAAAATTGCTAATATGCTTGAAAAAGTGGTAGTCATTGAGTGAGAGATTAGGGGAATATAGTGGATGTGGCAAAGTCTTTATTCGCAAGTTGGTGAGCTTCTACAGTGTCATCCTGGCAACATGTGGCCAAACATTATCATGAAACAGAATTGGATTTTATCAATTAACCTGTGCTGGTCACATTATGCCTAATTGAATGGACATTTCATCCAGTTGCTGGCAGTGAAGTCCGGCAGGGATACTCTGGTTAGATTCCAGAAAAGCTGTAATGCATAACACCAATAGCAGACTGAATCCAGGTAAAATGCCACAAGAGACAGGACAAAGTTAGCAAACAGCAAGCAAAAACCCAAAACCAAAAGTTGAGAAAATCCCAATCTCATAAATAAATTGAATCTTCACATAAAATTGGGTATTATGGGATACTAGGACTTCCTATGAAATATATCAAATTTGTGACCATAGCTATCTTAGAAAATGTTCTTTAGAGTTTAGATTGATTAACTATAAATTTCTGTTGCAAACAGAACCGACTCATAAACTTGTGAAGTATCCAACAGAAATAGATGACTATTACCAGTCACCATAATTGACTTTTTCCTAGCCAAAATTGTGACTTTTTTCTGTGACTTTATTACTGGCCACAGGCAGACCACCTGATAGTCACTGTAATCTTCTGTTGGTGCAATTCCAGTTTTGAAATGTGTTTTTTTTTTGTTTTTATTTTAAGAGACCATTGTAGCCTAAAGAAAGAACTCATCTTACAAGAAGTTTTCAAAAGTTTTATATATTAATTTATTATATTTATTGCTGGATTTTTGAATCCAAGTAAAAAAAAAAAAAAAATCAGGACAAGGTTAGCACACAGCAAACAAAAACCCAGCCTCTTGTGGAAAAGTGGACAAAATACCAGTATGATAGACAAATTGATAATTTACAGAAATTTAATTCAAATTTTAATGTCAAATTGAGACATTTTTGACAAAGTTGAGTTTTATGACTTACTAGGACTCCCAAACTATGAAAGATATCAAATATGTGACCATGGCATTGTTAGAAAACATTTTTGCAGCCTAAATTATCTTTGTAAACAATCTCTGTGGTTTGTTTATGTTTTGTTAGAAACTTAAAAAAAACACCCT